GATATGGCTTTGAGGTCCCTCCTCTGAGACTACGCTGTAGAAAGAATGAAGTGGGAACTTGACATCTGTGTGTTTATAATGTGTCCCAAATGATTCAAACTCACAGCCAAGTTTGGGGCTAATTCACAAGGAAGTGGTGTCAAAAGACTAAATGAAAGATATCTAAGAACCTGAATTAAGTACATAGCAGTGCGCTGTGTTGCTTAAGACATAGGGAACAACATATTGCAAAAATTGGAGAAATTAAGTGTTGCACATGAGAATTCCAAATTTCAGTTTAGGTCAATGGTAGGATTATGGTTTTGGTTGCCTGGTTCACTTAAAAAGAAAATAGACAAGAACATGAATTTTTTCTTTAAAAAATCATCTTTAAGTAGTCATACAAAGGGATTCAATTCAATAGTTCAGTTTGTAAGTACGTCTTGATCACCCCTCCACCATTATCTCCCTCCTGTCCAACCCCATGCAGCCCTGAAGTTACGTGATAGCGTTTTCACAAATGTACGTTGGATAATATGACTGCATTTGCCCACACTTTCTCTCCTGTTTGTCGGTCCCCCTCAGCCCCACAGACCTCACACACCTTTTCACAAAGCACCTTTCAGCTTCCTGGCATTCACTGAAAGTTAGCTGAAGAGCAGAGTGTTCTTCCTTCTATGCTCTGGAGTACAGCTCCCAGCTGTTTATCTAGTCTGATTGGAGATCTAGAATGTTAGGACACAATTCTTAATCTTGAGAGGAAAACAGACCTGAGGCCCCCAACACAAAGCCCAGAAGCTGATAGTGGCAGTAAAACAAAACAAGACAAAACCTCTTTGAATTCTTTTCATCTAAAATTCCATACTTAGTAGATGAGCACTCTTGTGTTTACCCAGAAAATAGGCAGGTATATGTGTGGACTCTTAAATGGGGGACAAATTCAGCGCTCATCATAATTCTTTTTTTTGTTGTTGTTGTTCATAGGGCCTGAACTCTGGGCCTGGGCTCTGTCCCTCAGCTCTTCAGCTCAAGGCAAGCGCTCTACCACTTGAGCCACAGCACCACTTTTGGTTTTCTGAGTGGTTTATTGGAGATAAGAATCTCATGGGCTTTCCTGCCTGGCCTGGCTTTGAACCATGATCCTCAGATCTCAGCCTCCTGAGTAGCTAGGATTACAGGCATGAGGCACCAGTGCCTGGCTTCATCATAATTCTTGTAACCATACATGATTTACAACTTGTAAAGAAATGCTGAGGTAAGGCTTTTCTGTATGCCAACAATGAGAAGAGCCTAGCTGAAATCAGGAAAGCAACTCCTTTTGTAATAGCCTCACAAAAAATAAAATACCTAGGAATTAACCAAAGAAGTGAAGGGCCTCTATGGTGAAAACTTTCAAAACCTGAAAAAGTAAATCAAAGCAGAACTTAGAAAGTGGAAAAACCTCCCATGCTCCGGATTGGAAGGATCAACATCGTGAAAACGGCAATACATCCCCAGGCTATCTCCAAATTCAATACAATACCTATCAATATTTCAACCTCATTCTTCAAGGAAATAGAAGAGGCAATCCAAAAATTCATATGGTACAATAAAAGACCCTGACTAGCAAAAATGATCCTTAACAGAAAGAACAGTGTTGGAGGAATACCAATGTCAAATTTCAAACTCTATTACAGAGCCATAGTAATCAAAACAGCTTGGTACTGGCACAAGAACAGACCTCAAGACCAATGGAATACAATTGAACTCACAGACCTATAGCCATCTAATCTTCCATAAGGGAGCTAAAAAAATAGAATGGAAGAAAGACAACTTCTTCAGTAAATGGTGCTGGCCAAATTGGTTAATCACTTATAGAAAACTAAAGCTAGATCCTTATATATCACCCTGCACCAGAATCAACTCCAAATGGATCAAAGACCTCAGAGTCAAAGCAGACACTCTGAAAACATTACAGGCTGGAATAGGAGAAACCCTAGGTCTCCTTGGCACAGGCTGAAATTTTCTAGAGACCCAGAAACACAACAAATCAAAGAAAGGTTGGACAAATGGGATTGCATGAAATTGCAGAGCTTCTGCATGGCAAAGGACATAGCTAGCAAGATCAATAGAAAGCCCACGGATTGGGAGAAGATCTTCACTATCCATACAGCGGACAAGGGTCTCAAAAATTAAATCCCTCAACAACAAATCCTCAAAGAAACAACTGCCCAATAAATAAGTAGGCTAAAGACTTAAAGAGAAACTTCTCTGAAGAGGAAATAAAAATGGCCAATAAACACAGGAAGAAATGCTCAACCTCCCTAGCCATAAAAGAAATGCAAACCAAAACAACATTGAGATACCACCTCACCCTAGATAGAATGGCTATAATCAAGAACTCTAATAACAACAGATGCTGGAGGGGATGTAGCCAAAAGGGAACCCTACTGCATTGTTGGTGGGAGTGTAAACCACTTTGGAGAGTAGTATGGAGGTTCCTCAAAGACTCAACATAGAGCTCCCCTATGACCCAGCAATCCCACTTTTGGGCATTTACCTAAATGATCACAAACAAGACCATACTAAAGCTACCAGCATAACTATGTTTATTGCAGCATTATTTACCATAGCTAAGATATGGAACCAACCCAGATGCCCCTCAGTAGATGAATGGATCAAGAAAATGTGGTATATATACACAATGGAATTCTATGCCTCCATCAGAAAGAATGACATTGCCCCATTTGTTAGGAAATGGAAAGACTTGGAAAAAATTATATTAGGTGAAGTAAGCCAGACCCAAAGAAGCATAGGTCCCATGGTTTCCCTTATTTGCAATAACTAGTATATGTCTGGGACAAGCAGAAAAGGTCAAAAGCTATGTACATATGAGCATATAAGATAATGTTAAGCGAAATTAACTCCAAGATAGGATTCAAGTCATTTTTTTTCTTGCTATTGTTTCTAATGTATTTATAAGGTACCATGTGATTTTTTTTTGTTGCTTTGTATGTTCCTCCCCTGTGGTATAACCCCTGTTCTCACTGTATTTGATGTTGGTGTAATTTGGGGAGGGGAAGGGAAAAAACAAAATGCTGAAATAAGGATACAGGTTGACCCATTGTAACAATGAGATGTACAAGACATTGTTGAACAATGAATTTTACAATTTAGGTGGAGGGGGGAGGGGGCGGGAGGGAGAGTAGTTGTGGAAGGGAGAGAGAAGGGATGGTAGGGGAAAAACAAAGGAGGCAACAATGCTTGGCAAGAAATGTACTCATTACCTTGCTCATGTAACTGTAACCCCTCTGTACAGTATTTTCACAATAAAAAACTTATTTAAAAAAAACTCCAAAAAATGATGAAGAGAAAGTTTCCATCCTAAGACTATTAACCAGTGAGACATATAGTAAAGAAAAGAAAAGCCTTCGTGCTCAGTAATAAGTGTTTGACTGGGTAAATAGTATAGTGCAATTATATTCTGTTAGCAAATGTCTTTTTGGTTGTCCCTGCAGCCATTTGAACAAAGGTCAACGTTCTTAAAATGTCTTCCCTGTTGACTACACTGCTTCTAGGGCCCTTTAGCCCTGCTGGAGCCCCTTTCAGAAAAAAATGATCACCCAAGGTGCCCTCAAACCTTAATGACTGTTAATACAATGTCTACCTCATGCTGCCTGCCTCTCAGTATCGAGCTAGGGATGGGGCTCAATGCTCTCTCCGGTCTCAGGCAGTCTTATGGAATAAGTCGGCAGCATGGAGTCACTATGATCAAAGGATCAGTAAGAACCCCGGGATGTGCAGGCAGGCCTACTCAGTATAAGAACAAACAACTTAGAATATGATCCGATTTCCACAGAATTCTCAATAGTCTATCCCTATTTCAATGAAAGAGTCAGTTCCTCAAAATCATAAAGATTCATGAGAATTCCTAGAATAAAACAATGTCAACTTTCTTCGGAGTAACTTCAATGGAAAGGATTTTTTTTGCTGGGTCTACAAATGTAAGTTTACAAAGTGCTTAACTCTTTTGTAGCCGATGTGTTCACCTTCCTTGCCAAAAGCAATGGAAATGGATAGAATATTATATTACTTCATTTCAAATTGGAATCATTTGGGCTTGACGCTTCAGGTTCAGATATTTTAAAACAAAAATAACTATGAAATTTTAAACAGGCTATTGAGAGTGATCGGATATCTCACCCAAATATTTGAATGGACCAAAAAAACCCCACAGAATCTGAAACAGCTTTAATACAATAAAAGAAGTAAAGTTAGTTATAAGATACATCTTATAAATATGTAGAACAATTCCAAAAATGGACAAATAAATAAGTTCTAAATATCAAGAAAACATACATAATATTTAACAGACAAAATGTTTAAGATTTTGTGGGGTAGAAAGGTTTTAAGGTGAATAGACTATAACTTCCTTATTATTTTTTATTATTTACTATAAGCACTTTTTTGTAATTTTTTTCTAAGCAAGCACTTTACCAGTTGAGTCATGTCTTCAATCCCTTTTTTGCATGCTTTTGTTGGGGGTTTTTTTGGTCATGAAGCTTGAACTCAGGGCTTGGTGCTGTCTCTGAGCTTTTCTGCTCATGGCTAGTGCTCTACCACTTTGAGCCACAGCTCCACTTCTGGTTTTCTGTTGGCTAAATGGAGATAAAGAGTCTCATGCATTTTCCTGCCTGGGCTGGCTTCGAACCATGATCCTCAAATCTCAGTCTTCTGAGTAGCTAAGATTAATTATAGGCATAAGCCACCAGTCCCCAGCTGCATTGGTTATTTTAAGATGGGATATCCTTTATGCCCTGTGACTGCCTGGACTTAGATCTCCCTCCTTGTGATTTCTTTGTGGTTGACAGGCGTGAACGACTACACCTGTCATTGCTTCCCTGGTAGCTGGAATAACAGGTGCACTGAGGCAGAGACTAGAATAATTTTATGTTGGTTTTGTCCAGGCTTATTAGGATTACAGGCTCCCAGCTGAACATTTGACTTCCTTAATTGATTTTATTGACAACAACACTTGACGATCTCCAGGAGCATAGAATACATGACGCAAACCTCAGCTTTTATTTAGTTTATTACGATGAGCCAAGCACATTCAGCTTAAGAAAGGAGGCTAACACATATAACAAGTTGGGGCTAGATTATACAAAGAGAGCAAAAAGAGTGACAAGATTTTTCAATTGGTGGAACTTCTATGTGGAAAGATGATTATTACTAGTATGAAAACAAATGTGCAATAGCAACTATGACTTGTGCAGAGCCAGTGTGCATCAGGTGTGAAACAGCACTGCCCTTGGTAAAGCGGGACCCGCCTTTCACCGCTGCACATGCTCATGCGTCCGTTTGAACTGGGATTTCATTGAGGCTCCTTCACAGCGCCAGTGTAGGGTTGGCAATCAGCTGTGAGTTCTTCTCACACCAATCAGCAACTCCCTATTCTACATCTCTCAAATCCTTTTTCTTTTTAGTTAGTGATTTGGGGGGGGGGATCCTCAGTGGAGAAGCAGGAGGAACATATTTTGCGATGGGCTTGGGGTAGAGGGGGAGGCACCAGTGGAATTAAGAAAGCAAGAGGAGTAGAGCAGACACCAAAAGGCTGAAGTGAGAAGTCCACGGGAAAACCCAGAGAAGACAGGCAGGCACACTTGTTACACTTAGAAAGTTACACTGACAAATAATTAAGAAGAACACTGGGGTGGAGTGGAGTTCCTTGTATGTTATTAAGGTAAAATCATATCTCAAAACACAGCTATCAAGTGAAGAATAAAAATGTCAGTGAAAAGGCATATAAAAGGAATTAAAATTTCTTCCTACTTGATGGCCCAATTTTTACAAGCGGTCATTTTATTACACACCTGCTCAGAACCTTAGGTATGTCTGAGGATAAGCAGAGAATCCCAGTGACAGTCCTTAGGGAGACTGGTGAGGCGGGGCAGGGAAGGAAGGGAATGGAGAAGCGTGTCCCCTCCAGGGTCTCCAGGACCAGCTCTTCATGCCCAGAGTGGACTGTCTTCACCTGCATTTGAGAGGCAGACTCAGTGCTCACACACTGCGATTGCCACGTTGAAATCGAGTACAATCACCAGCACTTGGTGTTCAGTGTGCTTCCGAGCAGCAGGAAGCCTAGGAGCACCTGGAAAGAGATATTTCTGTGAAGAGAAGGAGACGAAGAGGTTTCGCACACCAGAGGCTCTGCTTTATACGGTCTTTCAATATCTGGTGGTAAGGCTGTCATCCCTTGAATCTGCAAAGGAAAGAACAGACAGTGCATGGACACGTGACTGAAGAGTGGGACCGTAGGCAGTCTTGCTCACTACAGATATTTCAACAGGGATCAAACTGGTCGTGGGCTGCTGCAGAAGCCAAACACCCCAGGAAGTCAGACCCTGAGGGATTAGGAAGGAGGCAGAAAAGAGGTCAAAACATTACTGGAGAAAAGAGCCACAGAGAAGACACTGATGAGTTTTGTTTGTTGGGGCTTGGTTTATTTTGTTTTTGTAAAGTTGCTAGGGCTGGATTTGGGGCCTTACACTCTTGCCCGGCCTTTTTTTTTCCCTTAAGGGTGGTGCTTTACCACTTGAGCCATACTTTCACTTCTGGCTTTTCACTCTTTCATTGGAAACAAAAGTCTCATGAACTTGTCTTCATGGGGTGGCTTGAATCATAATCCTCGCTCAGATCTCAGCCTCCTGAATAGCTAGGATTACTAGTGACTGAGTCTAATGCTTTTCAAAGCTCTTTTCCCTTCTGGTACCCACTTTACTTTCAGATAAAGTTCCTCCTTCAAAGGGAGCTCTCAGGAATCAGTTTTCAATCATTTCAAGCAATTACTGAACAAATAAATTATTATACATATAAAAGAACCAGCCAGGCACTGGTGGCTCACACCTGTAATCCTAGCTACTCAGGAGTCTGAGATCCTAGGATCATGGCTTGAAGCCAGCCCAGGAAGGAAAGTCTGCGAGACTCTTATCTCCAATAAACTACTCAGAAAAAGCTGCAAGTGGTGCTGTGGCTCAAAGTGGACGAGCATGAAGACAGAGAGGTTCAGGGACAATGCCCGGGCCCTGAGTTCAAGTTCCAGGACTGGCAACAAAAAAAAAGAAAAGAAAAAGAAAAAGGCAGGGAAGAGGGGCTTTAGATGTATAGATAGTCTGAATCTTCTATTTTGTTCCAGGCAAGATATGGCAGTAAAGTTCTCAGTTCTCAGAGGCGGAATCAAAGTGGGACTTACCGACCACTCTGCGTTGTCTGTCTTGGAGCATCTCACGTTCACTGGCAGACTAAGGACCAACTTATTGAAGGAGATGCCTTCCTTTTTAGTCCATTTGAATTTATTCATCGCATCCATGAAAGAAAGATTTTTGTACTGCTTTGGGCTTTTGATAATGAAAGGCCAGGTGCTGAAATTAAATAATCACAATTCCATTCAGAAAACCATTACACATTTTTTTAATTTTTGACATAATAGAATATACTTTGTACTTATTCATTGTTACACTCACAGATAATTCCTTCTAAAGCATTTATGAACTCATTACTGGATGCTAGATTAAATGAGACTTTTTAAAGAATGGTATTTCTTGTTATAATAACAAGTGTATTAATTTTAGACAAATAATTTTGCCTCAGAAAAACTGAGTCTTTCAGTTCCAATTTCATAATTCAACTGGTAAGTATTCATTTCTGAAGAGTAAAGGCAAAAGATGGAATTAGGAAGCCTGCAGATTCTTGAAAGCTAATGCTAACTGATGGTCATTCAAAGCATTCCGTGGAAAAGCCTGACCCCTACTGGTGGTCCTGTTTTGCTCACCTATGTGAAAAGATAAACAAAATATTTCCATTTGAATCAATTGCTTGAAAAAAATTGTGCCCAACATACTCTACTTTCACTTGCCCCTCTTAAAAAAAGTATGTTAAATGTCCAAGAAAGACAGAAGAAGATATATGTTGCTTGAAATAATAGTCTTCCAATACTATTGTTCATTAGCTGTTTTATGCCATTGACTTCAGGAAAAAGAAACACACTTTATTGACACATTAAAAAATGAAGACAAATTAATTAATCGATGTCACAGGAGATTAACATGGGTGCCTAAAATGATGTTCCAGTGATTTCCAGTAATTATCAAATAATTTACCTCAAGCTGAGGAATCTTCATTTTAAATATTTCATTGTCACAATTTGTTTATTTTTGTCTTTACTTTCATTCTTGCATGCATAAAGACTCTCAAGGAAACTGCATATTCTCTTTTTAAATAAGTGTTTTGAGTTATGCAAATGAAGTTTAATGTAAGCACTGAAAAGTAGCTCTATATTCTTAACAAGGGACAAAATGAGAAAGAAAGTGGACAAAGTGTGAATATCTCGATATTCTTCAGTTCTTTGGTTAAGATCAATATACCTTTGTTGAGTTTTAAGTGCATTATTTTACAGAGATCTTAAAGTTAAATAATAAATTAAGAGCTATCACATTCCCATTATATGAAACATGTAGCAATTGCCTAAGATCTACAGCATTTTCTAATTAAATTATGGTGAAATACAGCGATAGTATCTAAAATTAGTATAGAACAAGAAATTGACTTGAAAGAAGCCTGGTGAATATGCATGCAATGGAACTTTCAAATACCTGCTAAATTTTATGAAATATAAGTCATTTAAAATAGTAAAATAAAATTTCCTTTTCCAAAAGATAAGATAACTATTTTGAAAAGCCTGTAATATAAAATGAAATAATATAAAACAAAACTGGACATTATCAAGGGAGGGGAGGACAAATTCTCCATCTGCAGACACCTAATATACCACAAGGTGGCGAATGATTTCTACTGAGGTACTTAAGAACGAACCCAAACTTTTCTTACCTAGCTGTTAAAACTGAACACTGTAACCATATACAATGATGAAATAAGCCAATATACTAGTGTTTATTAAGACTGCATAGCACAAATAACCTCCGTTTGTAGAATTTGGAAAAGCTCAATGGTTCATTTAATGGGACGCAACATCTGAGGATGGGGAATACATTTCTTTCATCTTGTAAACATACAGCTTTGGATGGCCATTTGTTTGTAATGTTCTCTCCAATCAATCCATAAAGAGGAAAATGTCCTATTCAACATATAAAGTATATTCTAAAGGAAGAAAAGCTATTTTTGCCTGAGTAAGAACAATAGCAGATGGGTGTGTTGGGGGCTGGGGTAGAGCTCTGTGGTGTAGCACTTGACTACATGTGCCAGGCCCTGGGTTTGATCCCCAGCAGTAGAGCACAAATCAAAACAAAACGAACAAAGAAGAAATCACCAATGTATTTTCAATACAAGATCATACTTACCAAAATATTTTCAAAACAAGATTATTTGTAAATGCCATTTTATGTGCTGTTTTGATTTCTATGAATGGTTTATTAGACATGAATATTTGGATCTAATTACATCAGTCCCTTTCATTTTGCAGTCCTAATTATCAGAAACTTCTTCCACAGGAGGAAGAGGAAGATACTCCTAACTGTCCCATTTATTATATACTGTGCCATATTGAATTATGAATTCATTTCTTAGTTCTTTAGCTGCTGTTTTCTTTTCTATAAAAGTGGGAGTGTGTCCTGACAGACCATTATGTTGTGTAAAAACAGATTAAATAAAATCACTCATGGGAAGATTCATAGTACTACAACACAATTTACCAAATATTTTGTTGTTTGTATTTTACTAAGTAGACTTCTGTTCTCCTGGTCATTAGGTTGTTTAGAAATGAACCAAGTAAAATATATCTATGGATAATTAACTTATAAAAAAAAGAATGTTTTTAGTTCACAATTTATAATCTCACAAAATTAAGTCCTATTATAACCTACTTGACTATCTACATTTCACCATATCCTCTATGTTTTTACCTCACTCGTAAAAATAGAATCTCAAGGGTCTGGGAAGGGGGCTCAGTGGTAGAGTGCTTGCCTTGCATACATGAGGCCCTGGGTTCACATAAGCAGAAAAAGCCAGAAGTGGCACTGTGGATCAAGTGCTAGAGCGCTAGCCTTGAGCAAAAGAGCTGAGGGACAGCGCCCTGGCCCAGAGTGCAGGCCCCACAGCCAGAAAAAAAAATAGAATCTCAAAAATCTATGTGTATATTTTTGTCTAATTACACAAGTCCTTACATTTTGAAAAGCATTAATTATCAGAAAGTACTTCTTACTTAAAATAAACTATTCCCTATCAACATTTCCACCAGCCATTCTAGTTCTTCTTATTGATATCTGTAAGAACTTGTAAAATCTTTTTCAATATCTACTTTTAAAAATTAACTTTAAGTAGTATGAAAAGAGGTTTCAATTCACCTGGCAGTTTATAATCACCGGCATCTACTTGAATTTGTCCAATTTTCTCTGTCTTCTTTTCTTTTCTTTTCTTTTTTTTTTTGCCAATTGTGGGGCCTGAACTCTGGGCCTGGGCACTGTCCCTCAGCTCTTCAGCTCAAGGCAAGCACTCTACCACTTGAGCCACAGCGCCACTTGTGACTTTTTCTGCATATGTGGTGCTGAGGAATCGAACCCAGGGCCTCATGCATGCAAGGCAAGCACTCTACCACTGAGCCACCTTCCCAGCCCCTGTCTTCTTTTCTTAATAGAGCTTTCTTTCTTTGCCCTCTGCCTCCTTGGGATGCAAACACTCAATGCATCCTGTGGGAGCCAAATGGTGACTGAATAGAATCACCTCTCCTTGACTCTAGTACAATCATCTTGATCCAAGGCGCCCTCATCTCTCACCTGGGTAATTGGCAGTTCCCTGGCTGGAAGTATGCTTTCTTATGTTGCCCTCTCATAGTCCTTTCTCAACACAGTAGGGAAGTGATTTTTGTCGTGCAATATGGTGGGTCCTCTTTGCACTGCTCCTAGTTTCCCATAGTCTACTCCCTCTTGGCTTACTTCCACCTCCTCTCTTATTCTCTCCTGAACTTCCTCCTTCTCTGGACAAATGCACTCTTTTACTGCCCCTCAAGCATGCTGGGTTCGTACCCATGCTCACCACACATTTGTGGATTTTACTTTGCAGGCGCTTCCGCATATAGGTGTCTGTTCAAATATCTCCTGCCTAGGAAAGCCTAACTGGAAAGAACTATATAGTTCCTTCATTGTTTTGATTGTTGCAATAACAACAGCTGCTAGTTAAAATTCTATACTCTCTCCAACTCCAGATTAAAGGAAAAGAATATTTGCCTAATGTATCATTGTATTCCAAGTGGTTTCTGTGATGTGCATTTGTGCAGAGTTTATATGGAAGGTCTGAGGCTGCTATCCCAAGAAAGACTTCCTTCCAAGCTTGAACCCAGGCTGGTGTCAATGATTTCCTATACTCATATAAAATGATCTCTAAATGTTTGAAATGACTCAGTATGTCTAGAGAGTTTGGTACAGTCAATGTGCATTTTTTCTAAACATCTGCTTTCCTTATCAGAGTATAGAATTTTAGCACATATTAAGCATAGAACACATATGTCCCTGACTTAAAAAATGAGCAGTGGGGTTTCAATGAATCAATAGTAGTTGTATTTCATATAACCACAGTTCTAAGCCAGTGGGATTCAGTGCATTTTGTGTGACTCTCCTGAAGAAGGCCTCTCAAAAGCTTCTACTGAAATTTCTCTGGACTTCATGTGATTTTACCTTTGTTCACTGAGCTTTGTATCCTTGCCTTGTAATAACTATTAGCTATAAGGACAACTAAACGCTGAGTCCTTTAGGTCCTCATAGTAAATCATTGATTTTGCACATAATCTGTTGTTCCTTAGACATGGCAATCAAGAAGCATACTAGTACTATTACTACTAGTCTACTACTACTCCCCAGTGACAAGTAATGAAATAGAACAGCATATAACATAACCCATTACCTGATAATGACATCAACATGGGAAAAAAAGCCACCCTAATTTAGTGTAGAACCCAACTACAAAATCCATTGACCACTTACGTTACTGGTCTGTAGATCTCCTTTACGCCAATGAACTGCAGCTGTTCCATGATGTCTGGAATACTGGCACATCGGGTAAGATTAATTCTTGGGTAATAAAGTAGGTAGGAGAGACACATTTCATTCCTGGTACTGAGTCCTCCCTGAAAATGGAGATATTTAATTCAGCAAAGTTTGTGTCCTGCCAGTTCTGGTACATAGATCATAAAAGTCACCAATATCATGGAGTTCCTTCCTATTCTGAGATGAATTAAAACTGAAAAGTAATGATGCAAATGACTGTTTCTCTTTTTCTTCAAAATTAAAAGTTCCTCTCCAAGAATGAACTTTAACAACGAGAAAAATGTTCTTACCCAAGTCATCCCAACTCTATCCTTTGTGTTGTAGCGGCACTCAGTGATTAGATTGTCTCCCTAAAACATAAAAGTGAAAGGTTTTCAGGTTGAAATTTTATGCTCTTTTAATTATCGCACATATTTACAGACCAATGATTCCTATTTGCTATTTGAATGTACATATCACACTACTTGATTCAAGATAAGACCTTTCATCTGTTTTACTCTAGGTTTGCTAATATAACTAGCAAGCAAGCCTACAAATACAGCTCTCTATGTCAGGCCAGACTTAATACACTTTGTTCAGCTAAAAAATAATAATGATTAAAAATACCATGTAATTCTAGGCACCAGTGGCTTATGCCTATAATCCTAGCTACTCAGGAAGCTGAGATCTGAAGATCACAGTCTGAAGCCAGGCTGGGCAAGAAAGTGTGTGAGATCTTTATTTTCAATTAGCTACTCAAAAGAAAAAAGAAAAAGGTCAGAAGTGGAGCTATCACTCAAGTGGTTGAACACTAGCCTTGAAGAATGAAGCTCAGGGACAGTGTACAGACCCTGAGTTCAAGCCCCAGAACCAGAACAAAAATAAATAAACAAATACCAATATCACTTATCTCTGAACAGCCTTTGTAAGAACATCAAATAACACAATACATATTTAGCCCTTAATAGAGATTAGATACTAGAGATAAATATTGATGTGGTTATTTATTATTTCACATTATTTCCTTTAAAGCTCTTTATTTTCTTAGAAAAAAATTATGAAGCAAATTAATGATAATTTATTGTTCTAATTCTTTCCAATTTTTGACCATAAGAATACACAGGAAAATGCTGATAGTTTTATGGCTCTCCATGAAGATAAGTGAATGGAACAACAGGTCATGTACAGTTTCTGGCAGCAGCCCCTAGATTTTCCCTCCCAGTATGGCTTCTTAGAGGGGCTGGAGATCAGAATCTCAGCAAGTATTTATGCACTAGTCATGATGGACCAGTAAGGAAGTGGTGAGATCACACAGGCAAGCTCATCATATTGGACATACAACGCTTAAGTATTTTGTTTCTCAATTTTCATTTTGCTAATCTCAGGGTGTAGCCAAGAGGTTCTGGAAGGAATACAGATTCCAAGCTGTGAATATAAAAAAGGATAATCCTCAGAACAAGCATGTCCCTTTCATCTTCCCAAGGTACTTCCTTTTGTTTTTCTTCTTAGTTTTCCCTTACATCCTCTTACACTAGGCCTCTTCCTGAACGGTCATCCATCTAAAGAAATCACATAGAGAACAGACTGCTGCCAATATCATTGCTGTTTCATATCCTGTTTAAGAATGTAACTTTAAAAGAGTTGATTAGAGGCAGGAAATTCTGCCACTATTGAGTTTGATAAAATGTTGGGGAAAAAAAGAAGTATCATAAAATTGATGAGAAAAAAATGTCTTCATTACTGTAAAAGATAAGACCCTCTTCTTATGCAAAAACCCCATGTATTGTAGACTGCTGAAGAATGAAATTAAATACGTTCAAGTATCTTCTTTTTCTATGACTTTTTATTAGCATAGACTAGTTGTCCAAGAAAGGTTTCATTGTGACATTTCCATTCATGCACAGAATGCATCCCAAACAAATTCACTCACTCTCATTCCCTTTACCTTCCTCTTCTTAAACCAAATTCAACAGGATTCATCATTCTGTGTGCATATATGCAGATAAATACTTTCAACCATCTGACGAAAGAATTATTCTTAAATTCTTTTTTACTAAAATGAAACGGCTAAAATTTGTCCTCTTGTCAAGGGGACAGAAAGAAATCTCTGATTTTATCTTATTAAAATCCTAAGCCAAAGAATCATTCACTATTGAAACTTTCTTTAAATTGAGAAAAAAAAAAAAGAACAGTAGCAAACGTTAGAGATTGGAACCTAAAATTGGTTTCATTTTACTTATTCTTTTTTCTTTAAGAAAACTTGTATTGCCCTTGGCAATAATAAGAAAGGTAAGTTTCAGTGTTGGGAAGAAGATGAAACACATTCCATCTGAGTTGTGCAGCACCTGCCGTGGCTGTAAGAATATGGACATGGTGAGATATTTACGCCATTGTTAGAAACCTGACCAAATCTTGGCAGATTTGTCTCATGACTGTTATAACATTTTTCAGTGAAAGAGAACAAGCACATACGTACAGGTAAGATTGTTTGCTCTTCCTTTAGATACTGAAACTCCTGGAAATTGAAGTCAAAGTCATCATCATACGCCAGTAATTTCATTTCCTGCCCCTTGCGAAAATGACGCAGCATGATGCCTCTGCCAGCCAGGTGCGCGTGGAGGAGAACCGCAAACACATGGATCCCGCTCGGCTTCTCAGCTTCCAGAGCCTCAGGGAACACAAAGAAGAGCCAATCAGCCCAAACAAGTGCCTGTCCAGACAGTTCATGTTCAAACATACCGGGAGGAACGACTGAGAAGAAGCTAAAGTGATTTAAGTGAGCAGTTGATCTGCCAAACCTGTTGAATTGGGATTGCTTAATGTTTACTTTGGGAAGCAACATTTGCCAGGACTCAAGAAAGGAAGCCTACCAGATCACGCCTAAATGTGTCTTCCCTTTGTCCTCTTTTAGGAGGTAAAAGGCAGTCATCAAAACTCCTAGCAAAAGATTCTAGCCTGTAGCAACCTGAAAAGTAGTCTAGATAGGAGAATTTCCCCTGTTTTTCCAGCTAGAATGAATTTACCGAATGTTGTCATGGCAATTTAAATCATTGTCTACATCACTCAGCAGACTCTCAGCTACTTCACCTGTCTACAACCACTATCCCTTATTTCCCAAAAGTATATGATACGTTTTGAAATACTTTGATTCAAAGGAGAAACTATCAATGGAAATTGTCATTATTAAGTGTCTATACTTGGCTTTCTCATACACAGGATGTATTTTACATTAGTTACTTACTTATACTCAAGTAGTAAAAAGAAGAAAATTTTAAAGCAGAGGAAAAAAAACAAGGAAGAATGGGGAACATAAATACAAATAAAAGGTAAAGTAAATGAAAAGAAACTGAACAAAGGTAGAAAAATGTAATAGACTAAAGTGTCCAATATAAAAGAAAGGAAGCCAGGTGCTGGTGGCTCACACCTGTAATCCTAGCTACTTGGGAGGCTGAGATCTGAGTATGGCGGCTTGAAGCTTGCCCAGGCAGAAAAGTCCCCATGAGACTCGTATTTCCAATGAATCAATCAAAAACCGAAAGTGGTGCTATGGCTCAAGTGGTAGAGGGCTAGCCTTGAGCACAAAGAGGCTCAGAGACAGTGCCCAGCTCTAAACTCAAGCCCCACAGCTGACCCATAAGAAAAAAAAGAAAAAGGAAGGGGATAGAAAAGGATGAAAAGCACCCTACAAGTTTTTCTTTCTGGAATTCTACACCTATAGTGTTCATGCTTTAAAAACTCAGCCACGTCCTGATGAAATAACACTGATAGCTTTAACAGTGTCAATAAGAAGAGAACAGATTTTCATACTAGTTTCTGAAAGCATGTGCTAACTAATAGTAACTCCCAACAATCAGCTATTACTAACCTCCTCTAGACATTCCAGGGTGCAGTGACCTTCAGAGCGGAACTCAGGCAGCCCTGGAGGGATGGTATGGAAGAGGCTCACCCAGAGCCCAGCCTCGATCACCCCAGCATCATACTTCCTTGTGTCCATCGTATGAAATAACCTCAGCCCAGAGCTATCTATTAAGCCTAGAACAGAAACACATGAGTGCGTTTGAATTCTTAGGTAAAAAAGAATACCTCTCACGTTCATTAGACTTATTCATATTTCTTGAAAGCTCACCAAAAAAAGAAAGACAAACGGGGCTGGGAAGGTGGCTCAGTAGTAGAGTGCTTGCCTCGTATGCATGAAGCCCTGGGTTCAATTCCTCAGCAGCACATAAACAGAAGTGGCACTGTGGCTCAAGTGGTAGAACCCTACCTAACCTTGAGCTGAAGAGCTGAAGGACAGCGCCCAGGCCCAGAGTTCAGGCCCCATGACCAGGCCAGGGAGGTGAGGGTGGGAGAATAAGACAAACAGATATTACTGGAATAAAATAATCCACTTTGTTCACTGAAGTGAAAAATGAATCCCCACATTGTCAGCAACCATTATAGACACATGTGACATGCTCTGGGAGACCGCTTTGGTTTTCTAGCCAGTATATTTCACAGCTATCTAACATGAAGAATGAATGAGAATTCTAAGGTATTTATTAGACGATAAATAACCCCCATCCAATTTTATGCTATATTGTTTTTAGACGAAGTTCAATAACCTTTCTTAGCGATACAAATCCTTCCATGTAGAAACCATCAACTGATAGAGAAAACTGCCAAAGGTTAAATTTCTTCCTAGTCACTATTCTTTTATCCATCCAACAAATAGTGATATGATGAACAAATCAATATTAACAATCTATGATATAACCAGTAGTATATTAGCATTGTGGGGATCTAATAGTTATAATAAGAAGGAAGGATATAGACCCAAACACTTTATAAATCTCTTCCACTAAGTGTGCAATTCATTGACTTCTAGGAGTAATAAAACCTGAGTTTATATTTACAGCCTTGAAAAGTTTGCTTTTTCAGGGAAGATTCTTTAAACTACCCACCACACATCCCAGGATATGACAGATCACCAATGAAATACTCCCATAATATCAGGTACATCCTTCTTATGACAGTTGAAAATCATATAATATATAGTAATTTAATATTTGAGTATCATTTTATGTGCTAATTTTATGTTATTGAGAGGCTTCTTTGACTGTTTCTCTTTCTCACTGGACTGATTTCCAGTGCCAAAGACAGATTATACAATCTGTCTTTCACCTATCTTAAATCCTCAAGGTTAGGAGTGGCACCCAGTGTTCTAGTGCTCAGTATTTGCAGAATAATTACATAAATCCAAGGATAATGGTTACTTGGAATTCCTTCCATTGAGAAGGAGTTGGGTTTTGTTGGGGAATACTACATAAGTAAACTCAGAAATCAAATGCATAGTCTTATACCTGCTCTTCAAATCAAAATCATATTACACAGACATATTTATGGATTATTTATTACATAACAAAATGCTTAATAGTTTTTATTTGTTTGCTTGCTTGCCTGTTTGGGGTAGTGCTTGGGTTTGAACTCAGGGTCTTGCACTTACTTGCTAGGCAGACGTTTTAGCATTTGAGCTGTAATGACCTCAGCCCTGTTTTAATTTAGTTTTTTTTTTCCAGCTTTTTTGCCCAAGACTGTCCTCAGACTGTAATTCTACCTACATCTCTCATGTTGTTGGGATCACTGATGTACACAGCATACTCAGCTGGTTTGGTGAGATGGGTTAAGAAAACTTTTTTGCCTGGGCTTCTTGTAAGCCACTTTCTGTCCATTCTGTCTCCTAAATAGCTGGGATTATGGGCCTCTTAATACACCTTCTAGTATGACAAGTGATAGGTAGCTTTTTCCGATTTGCAATTAGAAAGAAAATGTTTGATAAGCACTATGTGCTTGGGGAAAATGCATAACCACAAGGAAACACTTCTGTTAATGCCACTTTTTGTTAGCATGGAAGTATTTTTAGGATGAGAGACCCTGTGCCCATTTGTCTGGTTAAAGCCTCAGTGAAATTCTGAATAGCACTCTCTTTTGTTCTAAAAAAAAAAAGATAACAAATGTACAAAGATAACAGATGTCAAGGCTAACTCTTTCTCCTATTGGTTGCTATGTTGTTTCAGCTCTTACAAACAAGTGACATAAGCTTTTCAAGCTCACAAGTGCAATGTGTAGAGAATGAACTCACCTTTCTTGTGTGTCGGGTTATCATAATGGACTTCCAGAAGCACATACTGGGGATCTAATGGAGTGCCCAGGGATAATCCCACATGAGGTGGATAAGAGAAACCCTAAATATGGAAAATTCTGTGAGACAATATCCTGTGAAAATCCTTAAAGGATCTACTCCATTCCCCAACACATTCCACTTCCAATACTCAGTATTCAATATCTCAACCTTCTAGGATGCCATCAGTCAGTCAAATGTCATCACTTGAGGAAAGAATCCTTCCCAATAAAAAGAGAAACATACTACATTCATATTAAAAATACATAAGAGCCTTATGTAGACATATCAATGCCATATTTGTGGGGAAATCAGATGTTCAGTTAATTGCTCTACATCTCCGTTTGTCAGTAGCCCCACCTCTCCACCAATGGCCCAGGCAAAAATCACTGTCTCGCAGGTGAGGAAGGCATCGGGCATGTTTGGGTGGTAGCATTCGTGGCCATAGTCCAGAACACTGTCATTAAAGCTGCTGCTGCACTGGTAGAGCAGGATGTGGTGGACCATGCTCTCATGGCCTCTCTGTATCACCGGCTCAACCTGCAGAAACACAGGAGAGGAAAGATGAGAAAGGAGGACATCCTACAGTGTCCAACAATGAGCACAAAATTGGTACCCGGATGATATAATCTTCAAAGGGCTTTTCTTCTCAATTATGAAGAGAATATGCCGTTCAAGATGGTAGGCGGTGGTGGGGAGGGACATAATGGAACCACACAGATAACTATTTACTCCCAGACTTGCAGGACATTACCAATCTTCTTTGTTTTCAGCTCGCCTTTGTGGCTCTTACCCATTCTTCAGAGCAACTGCTTGAAAACTTGTTTCCTCCTCTCCCAGGCCTCATCTTATGATTTCTCCACCTCCTTCTTACTTATTCTGCCACATTAACAAAAAGGTCAAGGCTACAGGTACAATGTGCTCAGTCTTTCTCTTCACCTCAACTGAAGGTGGTAGAGGATGTCTCATTCATCTTTGTGTGTGCATGGGCTGAGCAGGAAATAGGGCTAGGAGATGGATATTTTCATTTTAGTGGTAAGCATCCCATTCTCATAAATGTTATTATTATAAATGTTATTATTATGATTTCCACTTTAGAATTTTAAGTGGGAAAATATTGTCAGTGATGTGCCTCAGTGATACTAATGGAACTGGAAGGGGGAAAGGGAAGACCAATTATTATCCAATAAGCAATACTGTGAGCGTGATCAAGTTATCTTCCTCCTTCTCATTGTCTCTCTGTAGGTGTCCTTCCTAACATCTGTCTATTTCATCACAATGAGTTGAGCACACCCTCCGTCCTCCCAACATCAACATGAAATGGAAGCCTGTGTGTAGCCTTGCTGGACCGCTTCTATGGCCATGAGTTACTGGAACCCTTGAATAATAGATCTCCAAGAGTTTAGCTGTCTTGGAGCTTAGCAACACAATTGCCTTTAACCCCTAAAGGCAATCAACTTGAAACTGCTTGCTCTACTTTAGATTGCATAGTTAGATAAAGTGTTTTAAGGTACATTCTCCTACCACCGAATTTCTTATGTTCTGTAGGTTTTCTATTTTCTTCCCATGGAACATTGAGCAAACAAGAATTCCTACACTTTTTCAGGCTTCAAATGGCCAATTACCTTAACAACAGCATGCAAGAGAAAAAACAAACAAGCTCATTTGTACCTTTTTTGTGCTATGCCCGCTTGAAATCGAGAATATGACTTTATTTGGAAATAAGGTCTTTGCAGGTGTACTGAGTTATGATGAAATCATACTTGATAAAGGTGGATTCTGAGTTCAATGACAGCTGTCTTTAAGAGAAAAGTAAAGGAGATTTGGACACACACACACACACACACACACAACTGAATTAAGTTAAAATCATGATGACCCAAGCCAAAAAAAGTACCAATAGCTATGAGAATCTGTTCTTCTCTAGAGCTTTCAGAGGGGACCTGGCCTTACCTTGACCTCAGATCTCTACCCTCCAGCACTGGGAAATAATAGGTGTCTACTATTTCATGATGTCTGGCTTATGTTCATTTATGATAGCACCTTGCACTCAATTTTCAATTGTAAATGATTTTCAAATCTATATATTTATATCTTGATCATGATTGTCCCTGTGATTATGACACAGACATAAAATACACATTTTCTTTAGTGATTACTAATTAACTTTATCTATAGCTAAATATACATCTTCCTCCAGATTTTAATTTGTGCAGTAAGAAGAGAATTATCTTATGCACATATGCTAAGCTCCATGAAGGAAACACAGCACTCTTTTTTGTTTAACACAGCTCTTTTAAGCAATTTTCCTATACTCATTCTTCTCATGCTCTTTGCTTGTTGAAACATGAGTGGAAAAGAGGAACATAGCTCTCCAAAAACAATGTGCAACTCAGTAAGTTAAAATTTAAAACAAAGGGGGAGCGGTAATGGGAAGATATGCTAATAAGGTGGAATTTTTAATCCCTATCATTTTTCTTCTTGCCTATTCTTGTTCCTGGCACCTTACTTTAAATAAACAGCCTAAGGACCAAGTTGCAGTTCACATAAAAGCCCATAAACTCTCTCTGACAAAGGGCATCCAGAGGGTAGCTGGCTCATAAAGTGGTACTGCCTATGAGATTTCAGACAGAACTAGCAGTTTAGGTGGGTCTCTATGGTCCTGCTCATATGCTCCCATGAAGATGTAAGACAGATGTATTTGCCCCCTACTCCTGTCTTATGCTCAACCCTAACAGGAAGGGGATCACTCAGCATGACAGTTACAATAGTTAACCAAACAGCAAGGGAATGGAATCTTCATCCTATCAATCATCTACTCTGAAGGAAAAAAAAAATCAAAGATCAAATCAAACCTTGACTTGCTGATGTGGTTTGAAGGGCCTACCATGAACGAACTTGGTAGCTGAATCTCTGGAAGTGACAGCATATTGAGGTAGAGGTAAAGAGATGGAATGAAGAAACAGGAGGAACAGACAGGAGATGTGTAGGAAATAATTCACTTCTTACTGCAGTCTTAAATCTCATGAGAACTATCCTGTTCACACACATCTCTTCCATGCAGCCACATCAGCTAAGGAAAGGGAACTCAAACCAGTAGTCTCTTTCTTTTGGTATTTTTTAAGAAGTAAAAAGGAATCCATCTTTTCTAAATGCTGGATGTTGTGGGTTTCAGCAAGTCCCTGGGCTGACAAATTCTAGCGCATGAAAAGAAGCCAGTATGCTTCACAATACACAATAAAGTTAGCAAAACCAAGAATTATCAGAGATGAAACTGTTGTTTCTGAAATTAGATATATCTCTACCAGGGCAAGATACTTAACATTTCTCTCACTCTCTTTGTCTATTCTATAGGTTTGGAGACTTGGATTTCCAATCATCCTGACTGTCATAAAGGCAATGACCTTCATCTTAGACTTCCAGACTCTAGAAATACAAGACATACATATCTGTTCTTTATGAATTACCCACTGCAAAGTATATTGCTATAGCAACACAAAGATATAAGAAAGTTTCAGGAACTTGCCTTCTGTGCAATACTCTGAATCCCAGCAAGATAATCTTCCAGGTCATCAATTTTCTACAATCTATGACTCCCACACTACTCCTCTGTAGCTGGCCATGTCATCAATACCCCTTCGTCTGACACTCAGGGCCCTCTCTCATTAGTTGTCTTCACAGTCTTCATAATCCTTTTTTTTCATTTTTAAATTTTATTGTAAAGGTGATGTACAGAAGGTTATAGTTACATGTCAGGTAATGACCACAGTTCCTTTTGAACAGTGTCACCTCCTCCTACATTCTCTCCCAGTTTTTCCCCTCCAATTTCCCACCCCTCAAAGTTGTATAGTTCATTTCCAACATAGTGTCTAGTGGGTTTCATTGCTGAATCGGTTCACCTTTTGTCCCATTCTATACCCTTTGTCTCCTCCCTTTGTAAGTCATGTTCATTCATAACCATCAGTCTGGCTCACCAAGTCAATTATTTCCCCTTATTCAACTTTGATCAAATTTTACTCAATTTTGAAAGCCCATGTTTTGTTTTCCTTGGATACCATCTCTGGCCATTTTGTTTCACAGTTGTCTTGTTTGTCTGGTTTTCTTTCAGGAGGTAGTACCGTGTGGTAGCCTGATGCCAATATGTGGTTTAGAATCCGAAGTCTGCCAGCAAACGACTTCACCTTACTGAAACTCCATTTCATATATAAAATGGTAATATTTTACAAATATCTAATGGCTGATCCACCATAAAATTAAATATATACATTTATATATTATATATTATATGTATATATATATATATATATTTCACAGAATTTGTAGTAAATCGATGGAAGTATAATGATTTCTGTACAATTTATATTTATAATATTTTATCTTAAATGCAGTTATTTAGCACACATTTTGTCCCTTAAGAATAGCAACTGAACATTTTATCATTTCTTTCTGATTCATTATCTAGGACACACATTTCCAAAGCTTTTATTATTTCTATGTGTGAGAGTATATGATTAAGAAAATTGTCAATGAAGATGAAATCATGCTGTTAATCTTGACACGCTGTTGCAAGTGCTTTTGTAAATATGAGCTCTTTTTAAATGCTAAAGTGAATTGATTTTTAGGTTAGAGTGCATCTTAAATTCTGAGAATTCATAGAATCAAATGTGCATCCTAAAGTAAATATATATACATATAATTTTTTTCTGTTTATCTAAAGTGTATATGCATAAAATTTTGTTCATATAAGGTATATATATATATATATATACATGTTTTCTATTTCATACTGTAAAAAATGGTCCCAAGATTCATTTTCTATTTTTGTTTTTATTTTTTTCAATGTATGCTCTTCAAAGCAGTATGTCAAATGGATGAATATATTTGAATTTTACCAGTCCTACTAGAGAGTAACAACTGTAGACATAGAGACCTTCTCACAGAAACACAGTTCCACTTCAGAAAAGGGGAAGAGAGAAAAGTAGGCAAATGTATAGTGATGCCAGCTTTATGTCGTCCATCCTCCTGAGCCAGAGAAGTGAGCTAATGGTAACAGAAGAGCTGGAAGCTTCCAAGCTTCCAAGCTTCCAGTTCATGCTGGTTCCTCCAGCCAATAACAGCTCTTGCTGGAAAGATTGCACTAAGGACAAGATTTCTCCTTAGGCTGCATTTTCCATTTCTCGACTGTTTTCTGCTTTTAGGACTCCTGAAAAGATGTAGTCACTGAGCTGTTTCTTGTTGATTTGGGAAGAATATTTACTGTATTTTATGATTTCAAGTCCCAATAATTCTCTCCACAAAAGGACAGAACTTAATCACTAATCACTAACAGATGATTTTCATGATAAAATGCCACAATCCCAAATTAGGAGGGAAAAAAAGTAAATTTTTCATGTAGTCCAGCAGAATTTACATATAAAAACAAGTTAAACAGTTAAGCACCTCAATTTAATTCTGTACATTTAAAAACTAACTTCTTGTGTAAAAAACTGTTTTTGCATCCTGAAAGTCCTAGTATTTGTTTATGCATACTTTGTCATAAT